GTGGGGATTAGTTATGTGAGACTTGGCGTGAGCGAGGCCGCACCGGAGGTCAATACAAACCTTGCGGCGTCGTTTGTTCGTCGCAACCTTGGTTCATGCCTGACAGTTGGTATTCACAATTCCGCTAAAACGGTATGTTTACAGCTTTATGAGGGCCGCTGGCACAAATTGAATTCATTCTTTCACGAAAACACATTGAACTTACAGTATGTTCTGGTTCAAAATAATTCGTTGGAACCTGCATGTTTAGAAAAGAAAGTCCCCAACGGCACAAAGCTGTAATTATATATCCAATTATATTTATATTTATATGAATTATAAATGATAGAAATTCAAGCCTATTCGATTCATATACCCAATTCTTCCCATTCACACCCTCGGGCGAGTGTGGTCGCTGCTGCTTGTAAGGCCGCAAAGTGGCGCTTGGCTCCAGAAAAAAATCTTTGAAAGAGATGAAACGAAGAAGCGGGCCAGTACGCCCGAACAAAGACAGGACAGGGCGCAGTTTCTGACATGATCATAGAAGATCAATGTGTGGTACAATGTTTATCGGAGATAGCCCTCCAATTCCATAGCCGCCATAGCCTGTTTCTGTTCGTTTTGATGCCAGTGTATGATAGGTTGCATGACATTTTCTTCCATCCTATTTGTGTTTCTCAAATTATTTGCTTCAGGAAACGCCTGTCGGCACAACCAGCAGGGCCCCCAGAGATGCTACGGGCAGGGGCTGCCTCGAATTTTGGTACTTCGCGACGTCACGACGGAATTCTGGAATGATGGAAATGGGATTAGGGGTGACTATCCCAAAATGGCGGAACAATTTGGGTGAGCGGATTTTTCTCAAATGTAATGGGATAAACCCAATAGTAAATTTTTTTTTCCATTAGCCATTGATCAACCATTTTCTACGATATACCTAATCATCGAAGGAAATTTAGAAGTCAACCTTCCGACAATATGAACAGATGAAAAGCAGAGGAGGGAAGAGGCAGAGAGAAGAGAAAGATTAGAAGAAAGAAGAGTAGAAGAGAAAGAGTAAGAAGAAAGAAGATGCAGATGTGAGAAAAGGTGGGAAAGTCGCGAAACACTGTGTTTTTCCAATGATTTGTGGCTCCGGAGGGTCGAAAAGTAGGCTCGCTAAAGCGGCGGGTGCGGAGCCGCAACCCCTCTCAGGAAAGCAGCGCCCTGACCTCCTAACATCTCTCATGAACATGTCTTTTGTACTGCGCCTGCCACGGAAAATGCATCTTTGCAGA